CTGATGATTAGAGATGTTGAGCATCGTGTACACATTTCTGTGTGGAATTTATTTTCATTTCTCTTGGATATACACTCAGAAGTGGAATTCCTGGCCATGTGATAACTCTATCTTTAAGTTTTTGAAGACTGCCACAATGTTTTCAAACTGCAACAGTGTTTCATAAATGCATCGTTTTATATTCCCACCAGCAGCTTATGAGGGTTCTGATTTTTCTGTATACTTGTTAGCACTTAATCTTACTTTTTAATTCTAGCCATACTAGAGGGCGTGAAATAATATCTCATTGTGATTTTGATTTGTGTTTTCCTGATGACTATTGATGTTGAGCATTTTTAAAGGCTTATTAGCCATTTGTATATCTTCTTTGAGAAATGTCTGTTCGGATCCTTTGCCCATGTTTTTTATTTTTTCTCAGTTAGACAAAAATTGATATTTATGCTATTGGTTCATAACACACACAGAAAGAAAAGCAATATTGTAAAGTTTCATACTGCTGGAAAACAATACTGTTGTTCAACATCGATGGGTATTGTGTGTTATTACGCACTATGATTCCTCATATTAGACAGTGTTCACCAGCTGACAACATAACTCTTTGAGAATCTCAAATAGAGTGAGATCATCTGGGATATTAGTCTGTAAAATAATATTCTACATCAGGGATTCTCAAACTTTAGTGTGATTCAAAATCACCCAGGGATTTGGTGAAAAATGCAGATTCCTGAGCCCTGCCATCCAGTTGTTCCAGTTCAGTGTGTCTAGACAGATGCCCACACGCTGGCAATTTTGGTAAGCATCCCAAGTGATTCTGATGCAAGTGATCACGTACCACACTTTCAGAGAAAAATATCCTTTATTATGAGCCAGTGAGTAACTTGCTCTAATATAAATGTAAAACACCCTCCCCTCACTACTGTAATGATTCTTCGCCCATGTCTTAATTGGGTTATTTGTCTTTTTATTATTGAGTTATAAGAGTTCTTAATATATTTTGGATACAAGTCCCCTTTTCAGATACATGAGTTGTAAATACTTTCTCCTATTCTGTGGGTTGCCTTTTCATTTTCTTGATAGTGTCCTTTTAAGTACAAAAGTTTTTAATTTTGGTGAAGTCTATCCAATTTATCTCTTTTTTCTTTTTTTTGTTTGTGTTTTTGGTGTCACATGTAAGAATTCTTTGTCAAATTCAAAGTCATGAATATTTACCCTTATGTTTCTTCTAAGAGTTTTGTAGTTTTGCTTTTATATAATGGCATTTCATTCATTTTGTGTTGATTTTTATGTATGGTATGAGCAAGGTTCCAACTTCATTCTTTCACATGTGGACATTCAGTTGTCCCAGCACC